ACAGACATCTACCACCATACCTGGCTAATTTTTTGTATTTTAGTAGAGACGGGGTTTCACCATGTTGGCCTCCATCTCCTGACCTCATGATTCACCCACCTTGGCCTCCCAAAGTGCTGGGATTACAGGTGTGAGCCACCGCTCCTGGCCAAAAGCTTTTTTACTTTTAGTTTTCTTTAATTAGAAACAGGGTCTTATCGTCTGGTGGGATAATCCTTACCTGTTCCTCCTTTGGAGGGCAGATAGAACATCATGATTAGAGATGCATGAAACGTTTAAATTTATCTATATTAATAATAATTTTAAAAAAAGAAACAGCGTCTTGGGTCTTACTATGTCGACAAACTCCTGGCCTCAAATGATCCTCCTGCTTTGGCCTCCCAAAGTGCTGGGATTATAGGCATGATCCACCATGCCCAACCTATCAGTGGGTTTTGTCCAGGCAGTCAGCACTCAGAGAAGAAAGTTCCTATTGGAGGTGCTGGTAGCTGGGAACTGCGTTTCTGGAGTCTGGTGAGTTCTTGGGGGGCTGTCCAGACCTTGTGAAAACTATAATAAGCTTAACTGCAAAGCTTTTTACCTTCCTGAACACATTCATATTCATACACCCATTTGATCTTCAGGTGATGCTGTGAGGTGGCCAGGAATTAACCCCATTTAGCAAGGGGAGAAACTGAAGCCCAGAGAGGTGAAGTACTTGGGTTTTGGGGTTTAGCTGCTGAGAAACCTATGGATTCCCGCCCCACCTACCCATCCCCTATCATTTCCTGATTATTTTATTTTATTTTTAAATTTTTTTTCCTGGACTGCTCAGCTGGAAATTTTATTTTATTTTTCTATTTTATTTTTTAATTTTTTTTTAAAGACAGGGTTTCACCATGTTGGTCAGGCTGGTCTTGAACTCCCGACCTCAGGTGATCCGCCTGCCTTGGCCTCCAAAGTGCTTGGATTATAGGTGTGAGCCACCAGTCCTGGCCATTATTTTATTTTAATTTTTGAGACAGAATCTGGCTCTGTTGCCAAGGCTGGAGTGCAGTGAGTGGCGCGATCTCGGCTCACAGCAACCTCCACCTCCGAGGTTCAAGCGATTCTCCTGCCTCAGCCTCCTGAGTAGCTAGGATTACAGGTGCGTGCCACTATACCCAGCTAATTTTTGTATTTTTAGTAGAGATGGGGTTTCACCATATTGGTCAGGCTGGTCTCCAACTCCTGACCTCATGATCCCCATGCCTCAGCCTTCCAAAGTGCTGGGATTACAGGTGTGAGCCACCTCACCCAGCATTTCCTGGTTCTTGAATCTTCCCTCTGGTGCCTGGGGCAAGACACTAACTGCTCAGTATCTCAGAGCACCAGCTTCCCTTCCTCCTCAGATGCCTTTCCAGGCTTCAGCTCTATGCTTCTCCTAGAACCATCAAGTCTGCTCCTACATTCTCGTTCACTCACCCATTCACAAACACTAGCTGAGGACCAAAAAACTGTGTGCCAGGTGCACAGGATACGGAATGAACAAAGCACTGCCCGCACCCTCAGGTTCACAGACCAGTGGGGAAAAGACACATTATCAGCTGTTTCCAACAGTGTGGTATACACAGAAATGGAGCACGAAAGGGGACCTGGGGATCTCCAAAGAAGGTCACCAAACAGTTTGGGGTGTCCTAGTTGGCTCCCTGGAGGTGTCATTTGAGTTTTCCTGAAGGATGAGAAATTAGCAAGGCACATGTAGCAGCAGAATCTAGTGAAGGCAGGAGCACGGCAGGTTCAGGTCTCGTGAGCAATTGGGGGACAAGTTACAGAGCTGACACTGGGGTTTTGGTGGGGGCCAGATCACACAGGACACTGAATTCAAGCGAGGATGCCTCAGTTATATCTTGTAGACAGTGAGGAGTCACTTCAGAGCAGACGCTGGGTCAAATTTGTGTTTCTAAATGGAGGATGTTGGGACACAAAAGTCTGGAGAGATTTAGTAAGCTACTGGAAGAACAGAATATGAGAAAGGCGGCCGGGAACAGTGGCTCACGCCTGTAATCCCAGCACTTTGGGAGGCTGAGGTGGGCAGATCACCTGAGGTCGGGAGTTCAAGACCAGCCTGACCAATACTGTGAAACGCCATCTCTATTAAAAATACAAAGTTAGCCAGGCGTGGTGGCGCGTGCCTGTAATCCCAGC